TCACTTGATGTATGTTTATGGGGCATCAAATTGCTGCCTATATATGTAAGCCACTTGAGTCCCCTAAGGGGTGAGAGGGGCAGGATATAAATATGGCAAATAAATAAATAAACAATAAGCCCCTTGCTGAACACTGAGTTGTTGCCTCCATGGGGAATACTTCACTGTGCATTGAGCAAAGGAAAGGATACTTCACTCAACCAAGTTTTTGTCTTAATTGTCTGTAATATAATAATAATAATAATAATAATAATAATAATAATAATAACAATAACAATAATATATTTATATACCACTCTACCTTCCCAAAGGGTCTGTATTCTGTTCATGCTTTGTTGTAAACTGGATTGGATCCAACGCAATTGAAAAACGGTAAATAAACATTATTAAGTTGCTGTGAGTTTTCCAGACTGTATGGTCATGTTCAGAAGCATTTTCTCCTGACATTTCACCCACATCTATGGCAGACATCCTTTGAGGTTGTGAGATCTGTTGGAAACTAGGCAAGTGGGGTTTATATATCTGTGGAAAGTCCAGGGTGGGAGAATACCTGCCATAGATGCAGGCAAAACAGGAGAGAATGCTTCTGCAACATGGCCATACAGTCCAGAAAATTCACAGCAACCCAGTGATTCTGGCTATGAAAGCCTTCGACACCAAATTAAACATTATTATTCATTTTCAACTACTTTTGAAAATGAAGGGACCTTTCTGCTGCTCCAAGAAGAAAGGTCAAATATCCCATGGGATATATGCAACTATAGGCCGTACATAATGTTTTCTATGAATTGCAGCAAATGGCAAGGATTTCAGGTGTATTTAGTGGGATACTTGACCTGTCAATCAAATGGAGATTCAAATACAGTTGATATATTGCAGGTTATCCCTTCACCACAAAAAGGCACTTGCAAGGACATATCTCCTTAATGTGCTCCTAGAAAACGGATGAGGGGCATTTATCAAAGGAATCTATGAGTTCCGTATCCAGCATTTTGTTCTAAAAGTTCTACTGAAGGGATAATGTGAATATTTTCCTTCCTTAGGAGTACTATCAAAACACCACTAAAGAAATGGAAATATGCAGTCCTCCAGATGTTGTTGAATTGCAATTCCCAGAAGGCCTTGGCAGCTTAGCCAATGGGAAGGAGTGTAGGAGCTGCAGTCCAACAGCTTCTGAGGGGCCGTGAGTTCTCACTCCAGAAGAGACTTCTGATTTCCCTTCTTTGAACAGCTAAAGGTTGTGATGTCAAATCAAAAACTACTTTTCAAATTCCTCTCCACTGTGGAAGAGTTTTGGTCATATGATTTAACAAGCATCCGAGCAGCCCGGCTGGCTCAGACCCAAGGGCCCATCTGTTCCTTCTGCTAAATCATCCAATGGGAAGCCCATTAGCAGGACCATGTAATGGTGATGTCCATTACTGTTGTACTCTAGGAGCTGGTATTCAGAAAGCCCGTGATACCAGTTTATAGAATCAGTAGCCACTAATAGCATGAATACAATCATGGATGGTAGGTCTAAAGCCCCTATAGGCTAATCTACTAGCTTTTTTGATTTCACCCTTAAGATATGGAATTGGGGCATTTAGAAATAGAGCTATTTTTAGAGACAGGCTATATACACAAGGCAAAAATCCAAGTAGAGTGTTCCCTCACTTATCGCGGATGCTACGTTCCAGAATCACCCGCGAAACGTGAAAATCCATGAAGTAGGGACACTATATACATTATTTTAGTGGTTATACACTATTTTAAGTCTTTATAAACCCTCCCTACTTACACTACATAACTCTCCTTGAACGTGTTGTTCACATAATCCTCAGATCCAGCTTTATCCGCAGAGCAACCTCTCCATACAGACAAACGCTCTTAAGTCCACAGTGCTTCTAAAATTGATCAAACCAGTCCTCTTTTTCTTCACTGCCATCTTGATCCTCCATTTTCTCTGCCATGCGATTGGAAAGTTGCTTGGCCTTAGTCCTACTACGCACACGCAACAGTCCAATGCTAATGTGAAATGGAAGAGTGGAGAGGGGTAGCTGCGCATGAGATGGTTGTTTTACTGAGTAACACAAAAACCCATGAAACAATGAAAATACCCCAATAAATATTTTACATTAATATTTATTGAAAAACCACAAAACAGCGAGTACACGAAAAACGAACCACGAAGTAGCGAGAGATTACTGTACAGATATTCCAATGGATCTTTTGTGTGTGGGAGGGGGAGTTGGAAAAATAGATTGGAGTAGGGCTATGTTGACAAGAGCAATTGAACGTGGTGGGATCTTTCAACATTTCCCTGAATCTGGAGGCCTGGGCTACTTTTTTGGCTAGGGGTCAAACCTGTACCCTTGGAACCTCCTAGCAGTGCCTCCCTGCAACCCCGCTGCTGAATTTTTGGCAATAGCAAGAATGAACACCCCCATTATTTTAATTAAAAAACAAAACAGATAGACTTTCTCCTAGCGCAGGGGTCTCCAACCAAGGCCCATGAGTCGGATGCAGCCCTCCAAGATCATTTACCTGGCCTCCGCCCTGAACTTTAAACTTCTGGTCACCCTAAGTCTGAAATGCCTTGAAGGCACACAACAACAACAATCCTAATTAATTTGACTATTGCACAAGTTTATGTTGGTTACAATTGTTTTTCATTCTAAATATTTTATTGTTCTTTCATTATTATTATTATTATTATTATTATTATTATTATTATTATTATTTTCCGTAAGATATGTGCAGTGTACATAGGAATTCATTCATGTTTTATTCGAACGATAGTCAGCTGCCCCAACAGTCTGAGGGACTGTGAACCAGCCCTCAGCTTAAAAGGTTTGAGGACCCTGTCCTAGAACCTAAGAGCAATCCTGGAAACCTCCCAGAACAACCTTGTAAAGATGGTCTATGTGCTCATGGGCCTTGCTTTCTGTGAAAATAATGCTTCTGGAATCTCTCGCTTATATACATCAAGGATTTCACAAATTAAAATTAAGGGGGGAAGTTATTTTTTTTCCACAGCTCGAGTTAGTTCAGCAGAGAAACTCGTGTGTGGGCCTTGGGTGGTCAAAAAAGAATGGAAGGGCCAAATGTGGCCTACGGATCATGTCTTGCCCTGCACTAGTTTATATTTCTGCAAAGAACAATATGCTGATTTTAAAATAAATTATTTATTAATACTTACACATTTTAAAAATAGCTAAATAACTAACTATATATACCACAAACAAAGGTGCGAGAATTCAGATGGTTACGGCAATGGCATGTGAAGTCTGCATTACTTTTGACAGTGTTAAATTAGATAAATAGACAGGAGGCAGCACATTAAGGAGTTATTACTATGGCATTAAGAGACTCTCAGAGTGAGAAGGATTTTTTTAATTATACAGTTCACAATATATGAAATGTCATTGTAAATCAATGTTCTAAAATCTTTCTTAATTAGTTAGTGCTCTGTAGCCAATGCTTAAACCCAGCAAAATGTTCAGAAGTCACCAAATAGAATAAAAAAATTATTTGAAAATACAGACACTAAGGAATAAAAGCAAAATCTCATTTGTTGCCAAGGAAGCATCTGGAATTCCAAAACAAATAATTACATGTACAGAAAATGTCCAACCTCAAAATTAACAATCAGGATAACAATTCATATAGCACAAAATTACTTTAAGATTAATTAGGAGCCACGGTGGCAAAATGGGTTAAACTCTTGTGCTGGCTAAACTGCTGACTTGAAGGTCAGCGGTTAGAATCCAGAGAGCGGGGGTGAGCTCCCATCCGTCAGCTCCAGCTTCCCATGCAGGGACATGAGAGAAGCCTCTCAAAGGATGGTAAAACATCCGGGCGTCCCCTTGGCAACATCCTTGCAGACAGCCAATTCTCTCACACCAAAAGCAACTTGCAGTTTCTCAAGTTGCTTCTGAAACACACACACACAAACCCTTTAAGATTTCAGGATACACATATATAATTAAGGGAGGAAAGACATATTTACCCTTTGATGTTAAATTTTAAAGAAAAATATAGCAACACTCAATGCATGTGTTCAGCTTTAACCACTAGTTGTTAAGCAGTTAATCTTCTAAGTAAGACTAAGGGTGTGTGTATATATGTATGCATGTGTGTGTGTGTGTGTGTGTGTGTTTATGTGTGTGTGTGTATACACACACACACACACACACACACATATATCTCAATGTTTACATTCCTGTTTATTTACCAATTGTTATGCCTTATAACTGGGACCCACAACCCAGTTAAGCTGAACAATTGGATTTTAAACCACAGAGTAAACCCAAGTCTTTTGGATTAACTGAGCTGTGGATCAAGTTGTGCATTTGTGAGTAAAGGGTTCAAGGCTCTTATGCCACAAATGGAACACAATACTACCTTTGGGGATTTTAATAAATGTAGGGAACACTGCTAGCAAAAGAGTTGCTGTCCAAATAGACTGACACACACAGGCCAATGTAGCCTCTAATGACAGAGTAAGATAATGACAGGCCCCACTCAAAATCAGCAGGAAGAGGAAGATCAATCTTGGCAGAGTGAAGGAAAAATGCTGGCTTTCTTCATGTTAGCTCATCTCATACATATCTGTCTTCAGCTGCTGCCCAGTACTGTGGTGCTCTGCATTAACTACACAGTGGATCAATAACAATTACACCTTCTCAAAAACATGACACATAGCAGGATTGGGTTGACATTTCACTTAGGCCAACATTGATCTCCGTGCATCTGATTCCAGCCCCAAATTCAAGTCAGGCCTGGGTCTAGTTGGAATAAACACAGAGTGGAGGGAGGAAAGAAAAAAACCCAAAACAACAAAGGAGGAAACCAGCTGCTGGTGCCTTGGCTTAGAAATAAAATCAACACGCTCATCTGTGCACGCTACATTTGCAATATACTATTCCTCCTGTTGTTTCTAGGAATTTCAGAATTGATCAAAGCCTCTTTTTGCACACGCATACATATATTTAAAAATAATATTACAAATTACTCACAGTGACATCAATGTTGATAATATCTCCATCCTGGAGAGGGCGGCTTCAATATAATCAGGAGAGGTGCCAAGGAGAGAAACACAGTGCATAATGGTGACAAGCAGTTCTCCATAAGGAAATGTAAAACAACAACAACAACAACATGCACATAATCACATATGCCTCTAAACAAAATTAACAGAAAAATTAGAATTGTTTGAGCAGAACAGGGAGGAGGCCAATGGAAAAACCTCTTGTAATCTCCAGGCTAGTTTACAGGAATCACAAACAAATTATTTAAATAAGAGAAGGAACCCATAATATAAAAGTAAGGAATGATAATTATAGCCATGGTTACCTTATCACAATTAATAGCCTGACAGCTGGCACTGTTTTACTTTGTGAACAAGCAATATTCATTCATTGTTAGCACCGTATTAGCTCACAATTAAATAAAACACAGCATCTTTAGGCACCTGGAAAAATTAATATATATATATATTTCTCATGAGTGACTTTTCTATTGGACAATACAACCTGGACTGGGATGCTGGAAAGAGACAAGACAAAATACTAATCACTGTTTAGATTGCTACACGCTTTCCACATGTGCCAACATCATTTTCTTTCAGCATGACAACCAGGTGTACTCGATATTTTTGGGTAGCTTTCGATAAAACTACAATGGGTGCAAATCACCAAGAAAAGCTGCTGTGTAAACCATGAACTCCAGTGAGGCAAGAACGGCCATGCAGCATTGATACTGGGTCAATTTAATACATTATATTGTCATTTGTATTAAAGGAGAAAAGAAATCTGAATAAACAGAACATTTTGTTCTTTGAGTGGGGGATAAACATAAAAGTACCTGTCAGGAATCCCATGACAAACCACATTGTTTACAGAGGTACAAACAGATTTTGGAAATTTCCCATATCCCAGAGGTGATGGATAGGCATTGTGGCTGATTATTTCATGGTGAACCAGGCAGTCTATTTCTTCTGTAGTCATGCCAACCTAAAATATGACAATTTAAAATCTATGAATGAAGTGATTAGTGGATCTTGGACAATGAATATGATAAACAAAACAAAGGGTCTAAAGTTACAAAACATCTTGTTTCTGACAAAAAGGAATATGCTCACCTATACAAAATGTTCAATAATAGACAACTATAATGAGATATGCGTGGACATTTCTGGAAAGCACATACATACATACATATATAGAAGCAATTCAAACTAAAGAGAAGTGGGAACTCTTTGCCCGGGTCTAGAAACAGAATAGAGTACAGTGACCCAGTTTTCAATGGACTAGAGCACTCAATACAGAAGATAGAAGATCACATTTTTCAATGTCTTTTTAAAGAAAGACTTCCTTGCAAGTAGAAAGCTAATATGGTAGGGAGAAACTGGGATTGAATTCAAGTTCTCTTCAGCCTTGTTGCTTGCAGGGAGCTGGCTATCTGGGGAGGGGAAATTAAAATATACTGATACTGCAATTTGCTCTTAAAATTTAGCAGCAAATTTCTAAATTAATCAACAGTGAAAGGGATTTATAATGACTATGAGTATAGCCAATTTCATATTTAATAGGCAGTATCATAGTTAGTTAGCAACCAAAGTCCATTTAGGATTACTTATGAGAACCAGAATGGTGTAATGGTTTGAGTGTTGAAGTATGGCTCTGGAGACTACGGTTTCCAGGTTTGAATACTTTAGAAACCCAAGGGATGACATTAGATAAGTCATTCTCTCTCTCAGCCTTAAAAGTGAAGGATTTAATTTGCGAATCATAGGTGGATAATTTTTAAATGCATTTGATCATATTTAGTGAAGAATTTTAATTGATTTCAGATTTTTCTAAATTTATTTTACAGATACTTTTACATATTTCAACTAACACCCTCCTCCCCTTTTAGCTCTATGTGCCAACAAAATGTATGGCCCTTAAGTTGTGGTTTGGTGAGGCACCAGCACTTTTTGGTACAGAAGGTGAAAGACCTTACAAAACCACAACTCCCAGGACACCATAGCACTGAGCCATGGCAATTAAAGTGGCATCAAACTGCATTAATTCTACCATGTAGATGCATCCTCAATCTGGAAGAAATGGAACATGCAGATTGAAGATCTGTACTGTGACCATGCATGTATTTTCAAGTTACCTGTTGACTTATGCTGACCCCATGAATGTCACTGAGTTTCTTAAGCATGGAATACTCAGAGGTGGTTTTACAAGTTCCATCTTCTGAAATATAGTCTACAGCACCCGGTGGTCATCCATTGAAGCATTAACTAGGACTGACCCTGCATAGATTCCAAGATTAGACTGGATTTGATGCAATATCACTTGAGACCAAGGGGGGAAAGGAATCACTGTTAGAAGCTCTCTTCTCGTCTTGGAGCTATTTTTTTTTATTTATCATTTCAGGAGCGAACCAAGGGTACAGTTGTAATGTATTTAAAAACCACAAAGTTTAAAAACTTGGCATTATATTAGATGTCCTTTGACCAGTAGCTGGCCACTTAGACTGTCTCTGGTGTTGCTATAAGAAGGTCCTCCATTGTGCATGTGGCAGGGCTCAAGTTGCATTGTAGTAGGTGGTCTGTGGTTTGCTCTTCTCCATACTCTCATGTCATGGACTCCACTTTGTGACCCATTTCTTAAGATTGGCTCTGCACCACACGGTGCCAGAGCGCAGTCTGTTTAGCGCCTTCCAAGTCCCCAGTCTTCTGTGTGCCCAGGAGGGAATCTCTCATTTGATATCAGCCATGGATTGAGGTTCCGGGTTTTAGCCTGCCACTTTTGGACTCTTGCTTGCTGAGGTGTTCCTGTAAGTATCACACCAGAAGTGACCAAAAGCAACTGACCAAAAGCGACTCTTGGAGCTGCAGTAGATATTCACCCTTGCAAACCACTCAAGATGGCTCTCACAAAAGTCTGGATTGTGTTCTTACTACAAATTTAGCTTTCTTCCATCCAATTTTATGTACTAGTCAGTGTAGATTATTTGATGCAGGCTCCTATCCTGTTTATGTATACTTAAATTGAAAAAATGGTGTGTGCATTGATAGCGCTATATAAACAAAGGATAGCAATCGACACTACAAAAAAAACCCCAACATTTGCATTCTCTCAAGGAGCCAACAAATTTCCTTCTTTCAAACTTTTCTCCACTATCAACATGACTTCTCTTCGCATATACTAGCACTGCATATAGATTTGCCAGCCCACTTTAATGTTTCAATTCATGGCTGGAAACAGCTTGTACAGAAACATATGTGGCTGAGACGCCAATGCAGTTAAACCGGCATTAGCATTTTCAATCTAACACCTCAATTTCAGATACCTATCATTTCCAGAAACTTTCCAATTTTTTTTTTCCAGCTCAGATTTTCTAGATTCTATTTTATACCGGAACCGATTATTTCTAGTAAGAATTTTGCAAAAAAGGTCCAGGCCATTTTTGAATATAAGTAAAGTGGGGGAAAATATAGACTTTAAATATTATCATTACAACTCTTTTCCCCGGAACAGAACCAAGCTGTGAAATGGCGAGGGTTGAAAGTTGAAATTTGGTAGGAAAACCTCCTTCATTGTCAAGAAGTGCCTTTGAGTGTTCCTGGGGAAATTGGCTGTGATTTGAATGAGCTATAAGCCTATGAATATGACACTCGGCTACAGGCAATAGGATGGGTATAAACTTTCAGTACCTTTCCTTAGAAGGTAACTATATTCTGCTTTTCGGCAACATAGCAGAAGATTTAAGAATTAGGTCACACAGAAAGTAATGCAAGACACTTCCTTTCATGTAAAACAGACTTTCTAGCTGAAGTTTGGGGAATAATGAAGTTGCATGTGAGGCCATACAGATAAGGATATTGGATTGGCTTTGTGAGATTCAACAAGCCCACATCTTTTCCTTCATACTTTAAAGAATTCCACTATTGCAAATGATGGTCAATGACCCCAGTGCCTTTGGGCAGACATGAGCTATAAATAAGGAAGACAAATTGTCTTTGTCTTCACTCATGCAGAGGGCTGCTAACTCGTGATTGACTTTCGGATAGGCAATTCAACAGGTACTGTTTCATCCATGGAGATGAACAGACTGTTTTAGATTTTGACACAGGGAAACTACAGCTTCTTGTAGTGATGTAAGAAGAAATCCAATGTGCAGATTTCATAAATTTGAGTTTAATATATGTGTGTGAATGAATGAGTTCAATGGAATGTAGTATGGATGTAGTTAATAATTTTGGAAACAGTAAAATATTAAGGCTTGCAATGACTAACGACCTGCTTGCTGAACTGTAATTAAAAGTTGCTAATAAGAACTGAAAAGTAAACTCTGATAAGGACTGTGACAATGGTTCTTTCAAGTTATGAGAAATGTTTGCAACATTCCTTATGTTAAGAAGGAAGTCAACATAAGATCAACACCAATCAAGAAGAGTCAACATCTGGCCAGGAAACGGAGATGGAGCCAGGATGGAAGACATCTATCATTCATTTACAACTTTGAGACAACATCAGCAGAATATTCCTTTAAAAGACTCAGTCTAATAATGCTCAAACTGTGACACACCTGAGGAGTCTGGTTCACCCGCCATACTCTGCTCCATGGGAAGGAGAGAGATGGTGTATTCAGAGAGTGGCAGATTTGCAAGGGAGCAGTCTGGTCACTTTGGGGCTTCTTTCTCAAGGGAAGAGGAAGAAGTGCGCTTTTGGAGTCTTGGATTTTGTGCAGGGAGTCAGGTTCTGCTGTATGGAAAACAGAGATCTGGTCCTTGGCTTTGTTCTTAGGGAAAGAGGAGTTATGGAAGGTTTGGAACTATGCGTTGGCAGGCTGCAGGAAAGAAGGGTCTCGTCTAACAGGTGCTTCTCCAGAAAGGGTATAATAATATTTGGGTGCATGAGGATAAATGCATGTACATGTATGTGAATGTTGAGTGAAAATGTAATTTCCCTTTTGTCTGTGTGTTAGTCCGATGTAATTGTAAGTTGTTGTACATCCAATATAGTTACATAGAATTTGTATGTCTAAATGTCATTCTTTCTGTAATCTGATATACCCTCTCACACCGGAAACTGCAATAAAAAGTACCTATGGTTTAAAGTTATTGAAAAGTTATTCATGACAGTGACACACGTGGATTTCTGGGTGGCAGTGTGACATTTTAAGATCGAAATAGAAATCAGCCAGGTCAGGTCTGGTCATAAATGTATGTCCCGTGTGTTAAATTAGCCGTTGTGATTGGTATGTGTGAATGCATTATGATCTCTTTAAAGCTGGCTTGCAACTATAGCATTTTTAACGCTTTCAATTCATTTTTCTGATGACACCAACATATTCTGATCCCCTCTCATTACTGTATTTACTCGAATCTAATGCTCACCTTTTTTGGCTAAATCATCTGGACAAAATGAGGGTGCACATTGGATTTGTGAAATACAGTAACCTTAATAAGACTCTGTTTAGACCCCCCAAAACTGTTGCTGTGGTTGTTGTTTTGGGAACCACTGGCATAGGTGCACTTCAAGATTTTACTTCTGTTGTTGGAAGCTTTGATATTCTAACACTTTTGTTTTTAAAGAAGGAATTCTAAGCAGGCAGCAAGAGAAATGGCCATATTAGAAAGAGTGCATCTTTCGCTGCTGTGCATTACATTAATCAGCAAATCCTTTTTTTGTTTTCAGGGTTTTGAAAATTGAGGTGCGCATTAGATTTGATGGCGCATTAAACTCAACTAAATGCGATATTTGGCAGCACACATTTTCTATTCTGGCAAGAAGCACCTTTGAAGTGATGAGCAATTCATTACTGAGAAAATGAAATTTGAGGGGAAAGGTTAGGCTCTTCTTTTCACACTTCTCAGTGCTTATGTCAAATTAGCTCGAGTCATCTGCCTCAGTCACCACAGGCAATGACTATAAATGATGGGAAGTATAGTTCTGCATGGTGTAGTGTTTTGAGTATTGGATGATGTCTCTGGAGACCAAGGTTCGAATCCCCACTCAGCCATGGAAACACACTGGGGAAGTCATACTCTCTCAGCCTCAGAGGAAGCCAAAGGCAAAGCTTCTCCGGAAAAATCTTGTTAAGAAAACACCATGATAGGTTCACCTTAGGGTTGTCCCAAGTAGGAAATGACTTCAAGGTCCACAATAACAACATAGCCCAAAACAGGAGAGCTAGGGATTGTGTATCCCGAAATTTCCTGTCTCTTGCAGAAAGACATGGCCAGCATCTTCTTTTTTTCATTTTTTTACTATTGGCAAATTTATCATAATATGAATTTTTTTGTCAATTTCTAAATGTAGAATTCTATCTGCTGAAATTCTTGATCTTGCTTGGTGTTTTCTATCCCAGACAGGGACAAAACTCTTGAACTCATTTTTGCGTTTCCCACATATTCTCAAAATTAAAGACACAGCTCTTTCTTCTATTCTATTTTCCCCTTTGCTATCTTCCCACTTCCCTTTCTTCTACCTTTAACCTTAATGCCCTCTTTCCTTCTTCAGGTGTTTCCTCCCCTTGGTTTGACTTCAAACACCTCTTTTCCCTTTTCTCTTCTAATTTGTATTGCCTCCTCCTTCTATCAGTCTCCATGGTTCATCCTCACATTTTCTTCTTTTGGCCCGACTGTTTTTTCTTCCCATTTGACTTGGGTTATAATGTACACATCAGCCACCTCTCGCTCTGTCTTTCTCAGTTATGACGCATGTTATATGCTCTGTTTATTATCACAACACCTGAAGTCCAAACTTTCCTTAACTGTTTTTGCCTCCTACATCGCCTCTGCTTTCTTTTCAGTTTTCTTTCATTCCTAGCTAATATTTTCATTTTTAGCTAGTATTTCTTAACTTACTGAGGCCAGAAAACAGTATGAAGTTTTCAATTCTTGTCTTATTTTTCTACCTATTTCAGCCTGTTGTGCTGTTTTCACCTTTGAACAAAATTGATCCTTATCTTTACTGTGATGTTACTAAATCCTTGTTTTATTTTTTCACTATGTGTTGTTCTACTGTTTAAATAGTCTTCATTTTGGGCTTACTTATTATTATTTTTTTTTTGCTGCAGTCCTTAATCCAGCTGCTCCACATATTCAAGTGCTTGTCTTTTCAACCATATGACTCCCCCCTCTCTCTCCCCCCCCCTCATTTTTTGTTTTCCGTACTGCTCTAATTTCCCTTTCATCTTCATTGGAAACTTCTTTAGCTTGCATTTACATCTCTGCATGCTCTTGCTCTTCACTATTTCCCCACTATTCTTTGTTCTCTGCTCCTGTCATCTTGCCACTTTTATTCGCCATCCCTTTTCTCTTGATGCAACATTATCAGCAGGCCTCCCCCGAATCTGTTGGTAACACTTTCTGCACAAAGGACAATTCCGTGAAGTCTGCCCAAATACAGCCTTCTATGCCATTTTTATTGGCATCAAGGGACCTCGGAAACTGATTGATCAGGCTCTGGGATGGCATCTTCTTCCATGTGGCCTCATTACTTTAAGTACCATCCAAAGGGAAGCTAGAAAATTAAATCTATTACAAGTGGCCTGCTGATTTTAAAATATGAATGATAGTGTTGGGGACTGGATTAGATGAAGTTTTGGTCACTCGAATACTTACAAACTGGGATCACCTTGCACTATCTTATTCAGTCTGTTATCTTGAAAGAGCATCCTCAGCCCAATGTTTACAAAGGAGCAAGTGTCAATTTTTTTAGTGGGTCTTACTTTCAAGAAATCACAGTCAGGATGTCCTGCATAATATCTGGAGTAACAGCCCAAACCTATGCCATTCCACTGGGAAGCAACTCCTTCTGAATTCAATGGGATGTATTCCCAGGTAAGTGTATATAATGATATATACATGTCAGCACGCCAATGCCTTAAATCAAGAGATGGCTTTCTAAGATCTACAGCAGTGGTTCTCAACCTGTGGGTCCCCAGGTGTTTTGGTCTACAACTCCCAGAAATCCCAGCCAGTTTACCAGCTGTTAGGATTTCTAGGAGTCGATGGTCAAAACATCTGGGGACCCACAGATTGAGAACCACTGATCTACAAAGATACTCACTGGAACACCTCAGCAAGCAAAAGTCCAAAAGTGGCAGGCTAAAACCCGGAACCTCAATCAGTGGCTGAGACTGGATGAGAAACCTCCTCCTGCGCACATAGAAATCTGGGTGACTTGGAAGGTGCTGAACAGACTGAGCTCTGGCACCAGGAGATGCAGAGCTAATCTTAAGAAACGGGCTACAAAGTGAAGTCCATGAAATGCGAGTGTGGAGAAGAACAAACCACAGACCACTTACTACAATGCAGTCTGACCCCTGCCACCAGCACAATGGAGGACCTCCTTACAGTGACACCAGAGGCACTCCATGTGGCCAGCTTCTGGTCAAAGGAAATTTAGTGTAATGCCAAGTTTCGAACTTTGTTTTTGGTTTTTTATACATTATAACTGTATTCTCAATTTGCTTCTGACACAATAAATAAATAAATGGTATATACAGAATACCCTTCAGATCCAACCTATTGGAACAAATATGTGGAGCAAGAAAAATCCCGGTGTTGCTTCCTAGGGACCAATTGTCCAAAGTGAAACTTGCAGTGTGCAATATTCTGTTTGTCTCTTCAGAATTACGCCTCACTGAGTTCAATAGGACTTATTCCCAGGGAAGCACATAATTTGCCAATAGATTCAGCTAGAGTAGATCAAGTGATGAATTGCTCAATGATAAGTAAACTTATAAAAATCCCATTGATTTAATGGATCTACCCTTGTTGGGACTAACAATGGCATTTAAGCCCAAACATTAGCACCACTTTTCGGTAATATATAGAAAGACTCCATGTGACCGAAATTCTCTTTGCTATTTTTAGAGATTTTTTTAAAATCCTCAATTATCCAAAATCATGTAAAAAAATCTTTATAGCTGTTTTCCCTTATAAACAAGGTGATAAGCAATACAAAATATTCTGAAGAGACAATGCAGAAGAGCTAGTGTTCCTGACATTATTCTGTGGCATGCATTATGAATTGTTTTGAAGCTTATAATATGCCTATTTGGGGTGGGGGGGGGGGGGAGGCAAGGCAGAGCAATAAAATCACTAGAAAAAGAGTGAACAGCCCCCTAGTCCAATTTACATAAATGCAGTCGAAAATTAGCAACTGTGAACAAAGATTTGCTTTGTGATTAAACAATAGATTCTCATGTCCCTTAGGATAAACATTTGCAAGATGGCCTATTTAAATATACATTGGGAATGATATCAAATCCTGATTGATTAAATATTATTAGGCCAATGTAAGCAGCTACAAATTATTATTATTATTACTACTAGTAGTAATCATATTTATGCCACACTTTCTCTCTGCCAAAGGAGACTCAAAGTGAGTAACATTAAAAACCATAACAATGTGTGAATTAAAACCTAACAGATATAAACATTAGAATAGAATTAAACATAGAAATATTAAAAATATTAGTTATAACCAAAATCTATTAATCTACATAAAAACACAGCAGCTCCTGGCTTGCAAAGCTTCAGATATGTGATCAAGTGTACACAATTGTAAACCAGAAATGGGATCTGGAGCTAAATATAAAAATATATATTTACAAATAATAAATTGGTTTGTGAAGTCAAGTTCCTCCTTCCTATTTTGTCAGCTAATGAGAAAACAGAGTTTCTTTTTTATCAATACAGACAACAATCTTTGTCTACTTTTCTGGCCTTTCCACAAAGCGCTTGTGGGAAGGAAAATAGTCCAGATGCTTTCCACATACGTCTATATTAAAACAAACAGAGGGCTGTGTTGTCGAAGGCTTTCATAGCTGGAATCACTGGGTTGCTGTGAGTTTTCCTTGCTGTATGGCCATGCTCCAGAAGAAACAGAGGGCTCATACCTAAGGCACCTACATTTAGTCGGTTTGATTTATTTTTAAGCCTGAATTTAGGGTTCTTTGCTGTGAAAGGGTCAAGGAGGATCACTGTGCATGTAGCCCAACATATAAAGATGAGAACACCTCCTTTGATCATCCTAGATGCAAAAATCAATGGAAAACACACACTTGAAAGGCTATTTTCATTGGCCTCAATAAAAATCCAAACTGCAGCCGAAAGACAAGAGGTGCCCATGGTCTCAAAGACCTCTGTGTCATGTTTACCTTTAAACTCTTTGCAGCCAGAAGCAGGATGTGACGGGCCAGATGACAAGCCTGACGAAGCCCTTGAATCTGATCCTCGTTCTTAATTTCTATGTAGTCTCCCCAGTCTGGTACAATGCCTGTCGTCACATAGTCTGGCTTCTTTATATGCTTGGAGAAAAAGGAATGAGAGTGAAGATCAGAAAACGGAGCATGACAATGGGATCATTTTCTCAGATAGAGCCTCCTGCTTCATGGCAGCTTGCCCTTTCAGTCGTGGTAGCGACCTTCCTAAGCCGTCAGGGCAAACCCTCAAGGCTGCCTCAGTGTTCCTCCCGTTGCCCTTTTGAACTTCACATTGCTGGCTGCCAGCAACTCTGGTCGTCTGCTAACCTTACAGCACTGAAATCCAAGATGCTGCTGCTGACACCGCTTTCCGCTCTGAGGCTTACAACTACCCAAAGTCTCCTCAAAACCACTGCTTGTTTCTCTTCTGCCTCCTCGTTTTTATGCTATTTTATTTAAATTTTGGACACAACCTAGTTAGGTTAATTGGGGTCTCAATGGATATATATATAGCTCAAGAGACATATTTAATCCCACGGAAATGGAAAAAAATTGGTTGCAATGAAGAAGGGTTGTAGTTCCAAATTTAAGTTCTTGTTGTAGTGTAGCTTCAAGTCACTTCTGACCTATGGTGATCCTATCACGAGGTTTTCTGGGCAAGATGTATTCAGAGGAGGCTTGCCTTTGCCTTCTTCTGAAGCTGAAAGAGGATGACTTGCCAATGGGTTCCTATGGCCGAGCGGAAATCTGAACCCTGGTCTCCAGAATCAGATTATAATGCTCAAATCACTATGCAATGCTGTTATTTTCATATTCCCCATTAATACACACACCTTCTGTCTGTTTAGATCAGCGGTACTCGAACTAAGGCCCAAGGGCCACATACGGCCCTCCAAGGACATTTACCCTGCCCTTGTTCAGGGTCAACCTAAGTCTGAAAGCATACAACAAGAACAACAACAACAACAATCCTATCTCATCAGACAAACGCTGACCCACACTTCCCATTGAAATACTAATACATTTATATTTGTTAAAATTCTTCTTCATTTTAATTATTGTATTGTTTTTAAGTGTTCTTTTTTTTTGCACTACAAATAAGATATGTGCAGTGTGCATAGAAATTCATTCATGGTTTTTTCAAATTATAATCCTGCCCTCCAACAGTTTGAGGACTGTGACCTAGCCCTCTGTTTAAAAAGTTTGAGGACCCCTGGTTTAGATATATACACACAAATCCAAGTGACTCACAATCAGCTTCAGGAAGGCCTCACACTTTCTATGAAAAGGGTTCCAGTTACACAAGTGCCAGAAGACTTCAGTTCCCTCCCCTTTTGTGAAGACCCTCACTATAATAAAGAATAATAATACATTTTATTTATTATCTGCCTCTCCTCATGGCTTGAGGCATGGCACAACATAGGTAAACAGATTATGGACCTTATCACATGTAAAAATTTCCTCATTTCTACGTATTTTAAAAACGAAGTTCCGTGGTTGCGATCACACGACACAAAGCTACTTCTGCTGGTTGCCTGTTGGACGCTGTTTTTTATCTATATAAATAAAAATGTAATGTTCGTTTGTGGGATTAACATAACTCAAAAACCACTGGATGAATTGCTGCCAAATTTGGCCACAAGACACCTACTATCCCAAGGAGTGACTATAACTACAAAAATTGATTTTGTCATTTGGGAGTTGTAGTTGCTGAGATTTATAGTTTACTTACAACCAAAGAGCATTCTGAACTCCACCAGTGATGGAATTGAACCAAACATGGCACACTGGACTCCCATGACCAACACAAAACACTAGAAGGGTTTGGGGGGCATTGACCTTGAGTCTGGGAGTTGTAGTTCACCTCCATCCAGAGAGCACTGTGGACACAAACAATTAAGGATCTGGACCAAACTTGGCACGAATATTCCATATGCCCAAATATAAACACAGATGGAATTTGGGGAACTAGACCTTGACATTTGGGAGTTGTAGTTACTGGGATTTATAGCTGACCTACAATCAAAGAGCATGCTGAACCCCACGAACAACAGAACTGGGACAAAGTTCCCACACAGAACCCCCATACATAAGGCCATCCAGTCCAACTCCCTTCACCAGGGCAAGAAAACGTAATCAAAGGCCTCCTGACACAGAGCCATCCAGCCATAGATATAGATAGATAGATATTAGGGCTGGGCAACCACGGAAAAATTTGTTTCTAAACTTGATTCATTTTTAGGGGTTTTTTGCGTTTCGTTTTTTAAAAGAATTCCGAAATTTTTCTTTAAAAAAGTTCGATATTTACGAAATTTCGGAAATTATGAAACAATTTCGAAACAATAACGAATCGATTCGTTAATGGCGGACGCGATTGCGCAATACGCTAAAAAACCTCCAAATGGGACAGGGGGAACTTCTGAAGCTTCCCTCTCCCTCTGTTGTTGACTGTTGGTGTGATAATTTATTTTTTATCACTGATAAAACAAACAACAACTATAAAACTTGCACCAGACATACGGAAATAATAACGAAATAATAACGAAACAATTTCGAAACAATTACGAAATAAATTTTAAAAATTCGTTTCGATTTTTAGTTGCTCCCGAATGGTTCAATATCGGATCGTAAGCCACTTTAAATACGAATTATTAACAAATTACGAAATTAACGAACGAAACCGCCCAGCCCTAATAGATATGATTCACACACACACAGATATAGTATCATAGATTTGAAAGGGACCCCTAAAGAAGGACAATGATATGTTGCATGTTCCAGAGTAGGCAAACCAGACAATTTCCAAATCAACACTGACAAAGAAATAGCGAGAAATACTGTTTACCCACAAGCATAAAGAAATTACATATATTAGAAACCAACACTTTGAATTCAAAGCCATCCCAAAGAAAGCTAGTAAGAAAGTATGTCATGTTGGCATTCACCTAAACTCAGGACAACTTCCAACAGCACCTGATTAACAGAAACTATTTGAGTAAGAAACATTTAGCACTTAGACCCTCCACTAAAATGGGGAGCAAACTACTCCTGTAGAATTATCAGTCATGCTAATTAATAGAAGTCTTTAGTACGTCATTTGCCTAGTTTAAAGTACATACATATACGGAAGTCAGAATGAGAATCTTCTACATCATAGAATGGTTTGAAAAGAAGATCAAGTATGTATTTGCCAGCCAGAGTGTTACAAATATTAGCAACACCACGATTTAGGTTACAGTGGCTTCTATTAAGATCAGAATCCAATAGCACAATATGAAATGGCCCTCATCATTTCGAAGGGAAGGCTGCTGGTTCCAAGTAGCCTTTTTCTCCAAAAACCTGGTTTCCAGAAACGGGGTTGTTAGAGCCAGGTGCTCCTCTAGGGCTGGAACAGGCATTCTCTACGGGAGCCTTTCCAGAGCCACTTCGCCCATAAGAACCTTGCCAGAAGCCACACATTGAACCAAAGAGGATGTTCAGATTCAGCAGCCTTCCGCTCTGGGCAATGGCTTCATCCCCCTTCCTTTGCTGTTTCTACACCCATGGCCTTCTTCCCTATTCCTATACACACTTAGTTCTCATGCTCATACAACCACTCAACATGACCTCAGTCTTGTCATCCTTTTCCTCATTTTCCCCCCACTCAAAGTTGTTGAAAAATCTGGTAAATCAAAGTAACTAAACAACTGAACGTATACTTTCAACCTAGTCAGAAAAAATCAGCATCAAAACAGATACTTTCTAGGATATCTTTTCACCCTGAAATTAAATAATGGGTTACGTGATTGCTATTTAGTTTAGCTAGTCTTAACCATTTACAGGGAAGTTTATTTGATTTAATAGTAAAATAACCAAATGATTATAAAAATGGTTTTATTTTAGTTGCAAGTAAACTAACAAAGACCGAGATAGGCTTTGTACTACAGTAGAGTCTCGCTTATCCAAGCTTTGCTCATCCAATGTTCTGTATTATCCAATGTAGTCTGCCTCCTGCCGGGATCCACAGCTGTTTCAATGCATTGTGATGTTTTGGTTCTAAATTCGTAAATACAGTAATTACTACATAATGTTGCTGTGTATTGAACTGATTTTTTTTGTTGATTTGTTGTAAAACGTGATGTTTCAGTGCTCAATTTGACATTTAATAGGTTTTTCCTTAATCCCTCCTTATTATCCAACATTTTCGATTATCCAATGTTCTGCTGGCCCATTTATGTTGGATAAGTGAGACTCTACTGTATATAATTTGGCATATGTGTTTTGGCTGTGTTGTACCCCATCTCAAGCCATGAGGAGAAGTGGGCAACAAATAAAAATTATTATTATTATTATTATTATTATTATTATTATTATTATTAGAAACACAACAAGATGAGTCCACAGCATACACTCTACTGGATCACACGTCGGACACTTCCCAAGTGTCTAGGACTGTATGATGTATCGGCGAATAATGCGTGCAGATCCCAGTACAATGGCCTATGCAGCTGGCAGATGGTAATTTTGTCAGCGCCGATTGTGTTTAAGTGCAGACCAAGGTCTTTAGGCACTGCACCCAGTGTGCCGATCACCTATTATTATTATTATTATTATTATTATTATTATTATTATTATTATTATTCAGAATGTTTTAGGCATGCCATGTTAAAATATTTATTGTGCTGGTACGGCTGTACCAGGAGCTCCAACTTTATTTTCTTTCTGTTAATCTGTTTGCAGTCATAGGGTAGGCCTCCTGTCCATCACAATTAAGCTTTAGTTCCGCCCCTTGTTCAGGACTCTGGGAGGGAAAGGAGCCATTTTTTGGTCAGTCTCACACAAGGTAGCTAAGCTATAGGACGTAGACCAGCTCGTCCCGTAGAAAAGCTTCCTTTCCCAATAACATCTGGGGATACAGAAACAGTAATTCCAGGGAAAAGGTCCCAAAAGCTCTGTCTGAGAGCTCACAGCCTCTCAGCAACAGAGAGAAAACAGCTCTGAAGTTTCAAAGAATTCTCTGAGGGAGGACAGCATTACAGATCCACTGAACTCCAGCTGAAATATCTTCAAGTCTCAACTGGTAGGTCTACTCGATACCCAGACGCATTTGGAATCGGTAGTAGCACCCACACCGATGAGGCATAGATAGAAAGCAGCCTGGGAGAGGTTAAAAAGGGTTTTTCTTACAGAGAAAGTTTAGTTAATCAAAGTCAGGTGCCAGTCCATTGAGGACTAGACTAAGAAAGCCTTGAAGTGTTGTTTGAACCTTTGAAGATTTGTTATTTGTTCCATAATAAAGACTTTGTTGTATCATTAAAGACTCTAAAGTCCATCACTTCAGAAAAATCCCTGAGAACCTCTCTTTGAGGCCCCCTGACTTCCCGCTGGGCTTAAAGTATACGTCCTATAGAAAAGTACAGCTGTTACAGGCCCAGCGCGCGTCAGAACATTTATTTATTTACTTTATTTATATCCTGCTCTTCTCACCCCGCAGGGGACTCAGAGCAGCATACATCATGCATTTAGGCAAACATTCAATGCCTCAATTATGCAAATGGTTAAAACATAACATAAATCATTAAAATGGTACAATTTAAAACCATTAACATATTAAGCATGATAAATGCAATACACCAATAACACACTGCACCAATCCTCATGCAGTGAAAGACATATGGCCTTCCTCCCAGATGTGGTCAATTGATTTGATTTATTACCAACTGCACAATACCACTCTATTTATTTTTTTTAAAAAAAATATAGAGACTACTCCCCACATCACATTTTGTTCATGGCAGCTGAAGAAGTATCAGATTTAAACTGGCTGGAAAAAATTGATTTGGTGCTCTCTTTAGCATAGCAGGGAGTAGAAAACTTTGTGCACTGGTTGCAATATCAAATCCCAGTCCTGTAACAAAACCATGATTCAAACTCTCAGCTGTCGGGGATGAATGCACTTGATCACTGTGCAGTCAACCTTTATATTGACTGGAGAAAAGATTAGATAATAGAAATTACAGTACCTTAGGAACTGGATGAGCTGGAGAAACTATAGCTGGCCAGACTACGCTATAAGCAGCATTGCTTTGTCTATAGAAAAAGAGATATCTTCTTTGATGGACGCTTGAGTGGCTGTGTAAGTAGATATGATCAACTGATGAAAAGAAGAGTCGCTGACGGCCAGTCACACAACCTGTGGATTGAGATAGATATATATGAGTGGGTAGGTCTACATTAAAGGGCCTAGTTAAGTAACCTTTCATTACCATGTTACTGAGTTACAATCAACTTTAAAATACGAGTAAAAATACGCCCTCTAGAAAGTTCTGCTTTGCTGCATCTTTGGGTGCAGCATGTGTGCAATTATAGAATAGTACCACTGGAAGTTACACTGAGATTTTTGAATAACCTCAAGAGAGGATTTATCCAAACAGTTTTTGCAAACACAACCACAGAACAGAGGATCAGGAATTACCACCAGAAATGTTATACAATCCTCCAATATGGGATCAGAAGAAACCAAGGTACTGTAATTTGTCACAGTTCAGTATGCCATATCTAAGAAGCTCAAAGAATTCAGTTTCTTCATTATGCTATAAAAGATTAACAAAAGCTGCCAACCAAACTTTTCTGGAATTGAAATGTCATCTTACCTAAGAAGGGAAACGAAACACCTCCTGACAAAGAAGACAACATGCTTCTCTTATCCCTTCCTTCACTTAACCAGGTTAACCAAAGCAAATGTATGGCAGTGTATTTCCCTATGAGCAGGATAAACAAGGAGCACTAGAGCATCACACTAGAGCAGTGGTTCCCAACCTTTTTTTGACCAGGGACCATTTAACCAGGGACCACTTTGACCAGGGACCACTTTCCCAGGGACCACCTTGACCAGGGACCACTTGATTAGAGACCACTTTGACCAGAGACCACTTGATTAGAAACCACTTTGACCAGGGATAACTTTGACCAGGGACCACTTGATTAGAGACCACTTTGACCAGGGATCACTCTCCAACATTAGTACCAAAAGGATTACGAATCAGTTTATGATCAACTTTAGATTCAGTTTGGGGTGTTGATTCAAAAAATTGCATTGGACAGACCACATCAGCTCTAGTTTCTCTAGTTGAAAGGCGTAGAAATAAAATAAAGAGGAAGGAGGTCTGTGGACCAGATTTTCATCCTCACAGCCCACTGGCTCACAGATTAAGAACCACTGCACTAGATCCACTTGAAATCCAGTTTCTGCCTCCTGCAGAATTCTCAGGTTTGTAGTTTAGTGAGGCCCAGAACCTCTCTGACTGAGTAGTTTAAAGGCCCCTACTGAAACTACAGGCCCCAGAATTCTGCAGGGGGCAGAAACTGGATTTCAAATGGATCCATGCTCTAGTGTGATGAGATCCCAAGCGAGGCTTTTCACCTTATCTACTGTAAAGACACTACAAAGGGGAAGGGAGAAGAATGAGAAAATAGGACAGATAATAGCCAAAGGATAATAAGATAGGTGGGAATGAATGACACTATTATGGTAACAGAAAATGCTGGGCAGAACAACCAGAATCTGTGTGTACTGGAAGCAATAAATAGGTTCAACTTTCCAAAACTCAGAAAGCAGAACAAGAAGAAGGAAGGTGGATATACTGTAAGTCGCTTCTGATGTGAGAGAATTGGCAGTCTGCAAGGATGTTGCCCAAGGGATGCCCGGATGTTTGATGTTTTACCATCCTTGTGGGAGCCTTCTCTCATGTCCCCGCATGAGGACAAGATACTTGGCTTGGATTTCAATGAATTCCCATTGAATGGCTTGTTTACTGAAGACCTCAAAAACAGTTGTGTTTTTCAGTTTATAAGAACACCCTGCTCTTGGGAACAAATTTAGTGATAACAAATAATTTAAAAAGACATGACCCATTGTGTGTTATCTTCCTGCTCATTCTAGAGCCTATCTTATTTACTTCTGTCCAGTTCATGGATTCATTGCCAATGTTTTTAAATTTTCGGTTTTTGAAAATCTGGAGGTGACTTAGTTTTGTTTGTTTTCTTCAAGGACACCAACTTTTTTGGCTATAGCTGTTTTCCTCCTACAAAATATACTTTCTGTAACTGTGGTAGAGACATTTCCTCCTCCACTTTTATACATTATCTGGCTTCTTTTGTGCTCCCTCCCTCCCTCCCAAGCTGCCCTGTATTCCACAGGATGTAGGAAACGCAGAAGCCCGGCTTCACCCATTTATTTTAATTAGAACAGTGGGACCACTCCTTTCAGGAGCCCAAAAAGTACAGAACAAAAGCCCTGGCTGAATAGGAACTGCCATTTCAAGAATTTCTGCAGGGTTCATAATGTCCTTCCTAGATTTTGACAAGTGGAAAGTAAGCGAAAATTGCTTAGATTTGTATAGCACCTCAAGGGAAGGCAGAGGCCCAACATATTACCAGCAACTTTCTTCTCTCCATTATCCCAGAAGTATAGTATATGGACTAATGGGCTAGGAATGGACCACGAGCGCTTAAATCCAGCTCCCCACAGGCAAGCCTGCAATATACAGAGGGCACACTCTGGTAATGAAGGAAAAGAGGCCTGCTTCTTATGTTATTTTGACAGATTTTAGGATGACTTCATGTGTGTAAAAATATCTTATATGGGAGCATGTGAGAAATGGATGGAAGTGTCAGACAGTCCAACAGACTCATGATAATGTAACTTTTGGGCAAATAAATCAAAGGTCTCTGAGGGAGACAGTAGTATATATAGGTATCATCTCTCATAGATACATACAACCTGGACAACCATGGAAGAGACTCATGTCAGCCCATGCCTGGACAACAACCAATCTGAAATGCAGTTGGAAAGAAGCATATCCAGTAATAGGTACAAGGTCGCTTCATATGATAGACACCTAAGTGTCATCACTCAATAGGCACTGGATGTCCTTACTAATGTTTCCCTTATAAAGGCAGTCCCTAGGTTATAAACAAGATAGGTTCTGTAAGTTTGTTCTTAAGTTGAATTTGTCTGTAAGTCAGAAAAGGAATGTTTAAGTGTAATTCCAGCCATTTTTTAAAAATGTCTTGGATAGCATAGGGAAGAGTTAAGGCCCCTGTAACATTTATTTTGCTGTCTGTGCCCCTGTTCAAAAGATTTCACCTCACTTTCTGTCCTTGTGACAATTGGATTGTGAACATTTTGGCTTGTCATGAAAACAAGGATTGGTAATAAAGCTTCAGTGGAGACATCTTTTCCCTGTGGTAACTCTTCCAGGAGTGAATTTCTATTCCTAAGGGTAGATTTCTCTTACTTCCTTTGTCTCACCCTCGTTCTTAACTAGAACTCATATATAAGTCAGATGTCTGTAACTCTGGAACTGTCTGTAATTGATTTCTCCTCCTGGTATTAAGAAACAACAACAAAACAGAAACATTATTATTATTATTGCTATTATTATTATTATTATTATTATTATTATTATTATTATTCTGCTGGCTGTTGTATGGGATCACACTTCGGACACTTCACACAGTCCTAGACACTTGGGAAGTGTCTGACATGTGATTCAATACAACAGCCGGCAGAGTGTCTGCTGTGGATTCATCTTGTTGTGTTTCAAATAATAACAATAAAAAAATTATTTCTTACCCGCCTCTCCTCACGACCCAAGGTAGGTTACAACATTGCCAAAACACATAATCAAAACACATAATCATTTAAAAACACTCTGTGCAATACATATATTAAAATCATATTTCCATAAAATACATATGAAAATACACAAAACAAAAGTTAGACATACAGTAGAAGGGAAGTTATTTTTTAAATAATAATTTTTATTGATAGAATATATAATTACATGAAAGTGGGAGAATATTGTGAAGGAGATAGAAAAGTAGAAAATAAAATAAGACAAAGAAATAATAATAATAATAATAATAATCATCATCATCATCATCATCATATGTGCGTTAGAAGCTTAGTCCCTGGGGTGTGCAGGAAAGAAGGACCCCTCCAAAAAAAAAAAAAAAAAGGTTGGTAGGACTTCCAACTACTCTTTGAAGATCTTTTGCAAATTTAGTCAGCAATAGTGATAAAAGTTGCTTCTCTATTTTAGTTCTTCTTTATTTCCAGTTTACTCCTTTCAAGAGATAATCTCTATTTTCTGCTAGAATGGAAGTTTTAAATTTGTCATTAAAACTGTCTGCGTAGGTGTGTCAGAAGGGATAGGTCTTCACTTGTGTCTTAAATTCTGACAGCTGATCTCGCTGTCAGAGCTCTACTGGCAGGTTGTTCCACAGTCATGGGGTGGCCGATAAAAACGTCCTTTGGGTGACGGTTGCCGGTCGGGTTCTGGTTGGCTGAGGCAGATGCCCCCCAGAGGACCTCATGTGTTCAGGGCAGATTGTACGGGAGAAGGCAATCCAGTAGGTAACCTGGACCCAAACTATGTAGGAGTGAGGCGATAGCTGAATCCTCAAATCTGACCACATATTATACAAGGTCAAAGGCCTGTCTAAAAGCCACATTTTTAAACTAGCCCGAAGGGTTTGGAGAGTGGGGGCTAACCTAATATCTCTAGGAAGGGTATTCTAGAGCCGGGGGGCCACCACTGAGAAGGCCCTCTCTCTTGTCCTCACCAGCTGTGCTTGAGACGGATTGAGAGAAGGACATCCCTGGCAGATCTCAAAGCCTACGCCAGTTTACAGAAGGAGATTAGCTGTATACAGTGGATCACAGTCCACTACACACACCCATATAAACATATTGCAGATTTTCAAGATCTGTCCATTTCTGCCTTTAAAGATTGCTATCATTATTATTGTTGATGTTGTAATTCTCCGTCTCCTCTTCCTCCTCCCTCTTCTTCTTCTTCCTTTGTCCAAACTTCAGTATGTCAAACACAGGATACAGATATTCTTAACTTCTACTTTTCGCCGAAGTGCTGTCATTGTCAAGAGATAAGAATATATCCCCTATCCCAGAAACTTAAATCTTCAGTACAAGTTTATCTTACTTTCAAAATGAAAGTCATTATTAAGTCTCTGAAGTGACAAAAGAAGGTGAATGTGTTTTTTGAGAGTCAGGAGGAAATAAGCATGATCATTTGGATTTAAGGGAGAGGCCTGAAAAGCTGTGCTGTTGTCAGCACAGGATGATCAACATTTATGGTAACAGAGGTGTTGTAGTAGTATGCAATATTT